GAGGAGTAGTCATTTGAAAGACCCTGCTACTTTGGTTTCTATCATGTCTCTTTGGTTTAACAGCATGTGACAGATCAAGGAGGAGGGAAGGGGAAGAAAGCAGGTTAGCAGCAGGGGTGAACCATGTGAGCTTAGGCAAGTTGTGAGCTAAAAGAGATGGATGCAGAGAATTCTTAAAAGCCTTCATAAGTCTTAGCTATGGAGGAGGGTAAAAGGTGCTGCTACTTTCACTAAAGCCACCATAAAGTCTAGCTTTGCAGAACTTCTATGGGCCTTCAGTTGTCCATTAACCAGGAAAGCATTTATGGAAACCCACCACCTAGTAGCATCTTTAGAGGGAAGTGAATTCTACCTGCTTCACATAGATGATAGACATCTTATCCAAAAAGAAGGGGCATACTTTTGAGTGCTTATACTGATGGTATTTTAGTATTCTTGGGACATCTTATCTGAATGTTGATCCTCTCTTTCCCTGTCCAGCTTATGAAATAAAACTGTGTATTTGGATTATATCTTATTATAGCAGGTTACTTTCCATCAACATTATAAAAAACTCTTTCATTGATAAAGCATTTTGATGAAAAAAACATACTGTCTTCTCAAGAACACAAAGTGGCAGGGGGCTCTAGACTGGGAGACCACCTGGATTACATTCCCAGATCTCCCATTCACCTGTTGTGTTAAGACTAGTCACTTCATTTCTGTGCCTCAATTTACCCATCTGTAAAACTAGGTTATTCACACTTGCCATGCTTTGCAGGGAACTCTGAGATGTACAGATGAGAAGCCTAAGTCCAACTCATTATCATGGTAGTGCAATGGTCACTTATTAAGATGGTAACCAGAATACAATTAGTGCAATTGCATGACATTCCAGTATTCCAACATTATACCCAATTACTGAATAAGTTAATTAGCAAGTATTACACTACCTTCCCTTAGTCATACCAAATATACACACACCATGTTTCAGAGCAGACATTTTCATCTTTTTTTTAAAGTTGGACATAATACTGCTCTATAGCATTCTGCTAGTTGATTGCCTGGTAGGTCAAATTGGATTAAAACCAGGGCCATAAAGCTTGATGAAGCATTTCTATAACAATGGGTTTAATGCAATTTGACCCACAGGAAATCATGCATAGCCAATGTTGCATAGTGTTTATGCAATGATCTATTATGCTATTCCTGATAAGGTTATTTATGCCTACGGGTGCATAAATAAACAAACCAAGTCTTTGCAAATTGTCATTAGGGAAAAGCAACAATACAACAGCTGTTTCACTACTGTATAAAGCACTTGTCTGCCTTATTTAAACAAATATATGTACAGTACACTTATCCTCTGCTCCCAAATGCCAGTGAAGTACCTTCACATACTTTAAATAAGCAGGTAGTGATCTGTGCCATTCTCACCTTCCCATACCTTATGTTGCTAGTATTTCCTTTCCGTTATTCACACTCACTGGCAAGTTGTCTTAGTCAAACTGCAACAATTTGTTTCTTTGAACTAATCTGGGGTGTAGGTCAAATGATAACTAGCTCACTGTATCCTTAATTTGAAGCAGGAAATGAATTGGAGATAAACTTTCAAGTATGAAATAGCTACATCTTCTCAAAAATTTTTTCCATTATCTTCACCCTACTCTACTGAAGTTGTGTGTTACTGCCCTGATGTGCACTGTATGTAACAGTAATCAACTAATTTTCTCTCAGCTGTACTGATGTGTTGCCCCTCACTCATCCTCCACCACCCAACTCTCAAGACTGCAGTTTACTCATTTGGTTCCTATAGTAGGCCAAGTTGTGGAATACCTTGCATGCAATGCAAATAATCCTATTGACTTTAATCAGGTGACTCATGAGTATTGCAAACATGATTAGCAGTATAAGCAGCCATAACTCCATCATTCACCTCTCTCATGTGCTTCTTTAATTCCAAGCCCTGTCATAAGCCCAGATAACAGATTTAAGGAGAGCCAACAACTTTATCTGGAAAAGGTGATTCTTAACAGGTGTTAAGTTTCATTTTAGGTAATGAAGGATTTTCTGTCATTTTCAGAGACAACCCTAGTTATTTGGGTTGATATAAGACAGAACTAAAGGAAAGCTAACACACAATTATTGTATCACCTGTAATTTAATTGCCTAGACATTCATTTTGTCAAACTGACACTTAAAATTTTATTCTTGTACTAAAAGTAGAAAAATTTCAACTGAACATTTTCAACTATAATAACTAACTACATATTTTTTAGCCTTATCAAAGTACTTTTCTTTAAAATGTCACTTGCCTTGGTTATTTTCTAAAGGAAACTTCAGCTAATGCATTTAGGGTGCTAAAACAATATAAAGTGTTCATGATGGTAAGTTGCTAGGGATTCTAATTCATTATGCAAAAAGTTACACAGCTAAATATTCGGAAGCCTTTGCTGGCAAGCCTAACAGAGAAATGTGATGATAGCCACAAACCCGAGCAACCGTCTTGGAGCAACTGTAGACTGACTAACTTTAGAAACCCTTCCTACTGATAATACCTAAATAAAATTTGATTTTTCTGTGCAGTTATATTTGTGGATAAATCAGTTCAGTAAAGATACAGCTTTTATACACAGACTAATATATTAATTGAACCAGAAACCTTTGCTGAAGAAAGTGTTGTTTATTTTATGTACTAAAAAGGATGTGTTATTTCAGATAATGAACAGTGCTTGTGGCATTCAAATCGCTGCTATGGTACAACTAGCCAATATTATAAATACTCTTGCAGTCACATGCAACACTTAAAACCATAATGCGTGTTCAGTGACCACATGATTGGAAGCTGAAGCCAGACAAATTCAAATTAGAAACAAGGCACACATTTTTAATTGTAAAAACAATGAGGAGTCTTTGTGGCACCTTAGAGACTAACAAATTTATTTGGGCATAAGCTTTCGTGGGCTAGAACCCACATCATCAGATGCATGGAGTGGAAAATACAGGAACAGGTATAAATACATGAAAAGATGTGAATTGCCTTACCAAGTGTGAGGTCAGTCTAACGAGACAATTCAATTGACAGCAGGATACCAAGGGAGGAAAAATAACTTTTCAAGTGGTAATGAGAGTGGCCCATTTCAGACAGTTGACAAGAAGGTGTGAGTAACAGTAGGGGGAAATTAGGTTTAGGTTTTGTAATGACCCAACCCCTCCCAGTCTTTATTCAGGCCTAATGTGATGGTGTCCAGTTTGCAAATTAATTCCAGTTCTGCAGTTTCACATTGGAGCCTGTTTCTGAAGTTTTTTTGTTGAAGAATTGCCACTTTTAAGTGGGTTCTAGCCCAGGAAAGCTTATGCCCAAATACATTTGTTAGTCTCTAAGGTGCCACAAGGACTCCTCATTGTTTTTGCTGATACAGACTAACACAGCTACCACTCTGAAACCTGTCATCATTTTTAGTGAGTGTGATTAACCTTTGGAACAAGCCACCAAGGTAAGTAGTGGATTTTCCATCTCTTGATTTCTTTAGATCAAGACTGGGTGCCTTTCTGAAAGATATGCTTCAGTCAAACACAAGTTGTTGGTGTCAATGTAAGGGTATGTGTGTGAAATGCAATGGCCACAGGCAGTTAAACTAGATGATCTAGTGGTCTCTTCCATCCTTATAAGAATCTATTAATTATTAGCCTTTATTTACTCTGACCAGCATTACACAGAAAAAAACTGAGCATGCCAGGAATCAGAGTGTTGTCTACAAAAAAAGCTCAACAAAGACTGAGCACTTAAATTGTTTTCTCATACACAAGTGATTTAAATTCCATATTCTAGCTAACCCAAGCAGTACACTCTGATTACCAAACATATGGACATTCAGACAATATCCTACACAAATCCAGCTGTTACAGAGCAGATGTTCAGCTTGCCAGAACACAGAAGTTCAAAATTAAAGTTACATGTTTCTGCTTTCTGTCCCCACCCCCTTACCACTGAAACAGAAAATCAAGTATCTTAGCCCCTCGGTTTTGCAATGGAAATTACCACCAGTACAGAATACTTAGATTTCACAATTTTACCACTTCTGTGCATGGAAATTAAACATGGAGAAATTATTTTGCTTTTATTATTTCCTCCAGGAAATTAATAATCATTTTACTCCATGTAACTATCAGCTCCTATGATGTGTACTGTGAAGTACTCTATCCTCTCCTGGGTTTGTCTTTTTTTATTTTAAAAAGTCCTTACGTGGGTATATACGTATGCATCAGTGTGTATTTTAGCAAGGAACCTTAAGACACTGTTATCAATAGCGGTCTTCCCAAGGGAGCGAGAGAAATATTTTGTTACCAATTAGTGGAAGGTGCTCAAGGGGCAAATTTTGAGTGCTTCTGTTCCAACTTTGATTATTGTGGCTTTCTTGAGAATAATTTAGCACAATTACAAAATTCTGTTAACTCCAGGAAGCACGCCAGTCTCTATTTAATCAGAGAAACCACAGATGGAAGAGGTCATCCCTCCAGCTAACATAAGAACTTACATTCTTATTTATTAGCCCCTTTTCTAGTACCACTCTCAGAACAAGTGAGGGGTTCACGTCCTTCCCCAATAAACACATGCATTACTTTTCCTGACATGCAAATCTGTTTTCCCCTTTCAACTCCCTGTCATTCCTCAAGCAGCACCCTAAATAGTTCATCTTACTGCATGCTGACACCCTGAAAACCCTGGCCTTAGTCATTTTGAAGATGTAGCATTTCCCTACTATTTCTAGAGTGGTAGCCTGATTCTCCCAGCAGTGTCAAAGAATGAGATGAAAAATCTCAAGTAGGCAACACAAAGTTTTCCCTGCAAGCTCCCCTTTGGGTTTGTGTTAAGACAGAATTTCTGTTTTTTTTCACAAGACACTGCAGGAAAATGATAGGGAAGGGAGTTCATTGCACTGCACCAAATACCTGCCCACATCCTGCTTGAAAACTGAGAGGGGGCAAAACCCAAATGGCAGTCTGTGTACGTTACATACCCACGCCGCTCCTCTCCTTGTCAGTCTTGCGCCAGGGTGCCATTGCATGAGTCTCCTCCAGGTCCCAGAGGATGCCAGCCCCCAGAAAAGCCACTGAATGTGAGCAGGGTACTGCAGCAATGGTGTGAGTGAGGCTCTTGGAAGTCAAATCTGTTACCCAGTTTTAGTCACTGATGACCTGGGAGGAAACTGGGGCTGACTAACGTGGCTTCTACTGCTATGTGCGCTCTGCTGCTGTTCGCAGAGGCTCCTGCTTCCTTCCTCTTTTCTAACTCTCTCCTAACTGAATCAGTCATTGCCAAAAAGTCACGCCTATTGTGGGGGAAGGGTGACCTGAAGTGGGTGTCTTAGCAACAGGACAATGACAGTAATATGTGAACAGACAAGATGGAAAGGGAGTCATGCCAAACACTGCCTTCTACCACACATCTTTCGGCTCTGGACGTGGTCCCATCTACAGTAGAAGGCTACTGTGCTGTATGACCTGATTATAATATTGCAGTTCTCAACACCGAACATTTGAATCTTGTAGTTCAAGTCTCCATTCCCATACTGTGCTACAACCTTGGATTTTTCCAATTGGTCCCACAAGATGTGACTTAACTGTGTAGGAACTGCCATGTTTTAGCCCTGTCCTGCAGAATAGTTTCATAGCATAAACATAGCAAGTGCAAAAATGTGGCTGCAAACAAGGATGGATGAGGTTTAAAATCTTTCATGGAAGATTTAGAGCAATAAGTAGTAAACAGTAATGCTAGTTGCTTAAAGTGCTCTAGTTCAAAACAGTGAAGAACTTTAATATTCCATTGTAATGTCACAAACTAAGTTTTGTGCATGTAAAGATCACATAATCTAGGTGTTCAAAGTTGAGTTGGAGAGCAAAATACAGATGACCAATGACATGAAGCCTCACCTTCACTTCTCTCTCTCTCAGCTTGTCTTACAAGGACAGAGGCTTAAAAAAATCCTTTAGATGGAGTTATGTTCCCAAGTTTTTTCAGTGGGATAAATTCACTTGGTACAAGATTTCTTTGCACCTGCTTTTTACCTTTAAACATTTCTGAAAAATTCAGTAGCTCTGATGCTGGTATGATGTTCTGCACTGACAATCCTGCGATTTCAATCTTCATTTCATCCACAGACCACATACGCAAGCACAGACACTGCCAATCCAAGCTTTAGTTTACTGAAGACAGTGTGGAGCAACAACAAATCTTGAGTGTTAGCTTGCGAACGTCAGTCCTATCTGCAAACTTGAGTGTTTCAGTTCTGTTTGTTTTGTTGTTAATTCAAGCCCTGTGTGTTGCAGGCTTATGAAAAAGGGTATTTTCAGAAGGGTGATGGAAGTTCCCAAGCAACCATTCGATTATTTTAAGTCGACTTGAGAAAGGTACCTTACATTTTAGCAGTAAAGATAGCATTTGATGTACAGAAATGGGAATTTACACTAAAGGGGATTCTGAACCACTGAAATTCTCCCCTCACAACTGCCAGTCTGTTATTCCTACCTCTGTAGTGAAATCTTTAGCCCTCCTTTTAAATGTAGGCATTTCTAGTGTGCAACTCACCATCCCCAATTTAGACTAATGGAGCAAATTAATCCATTAGCTAACTCACATTAGCTCAAATTACACCAGCGATAAACTTTTTCTTGATGTGTCTCACTGAATTTGTTGTTATTCAGCCACCCCCTACCCTATTTTGTTGGACCTGTATGCCCAGGTATTCTTACGGCTTTCTACGGTGTTACAGGAGACTCTGGAGAGGATTGGTCTTCTTAGGCACTAAGTTTAAAGTCAGTAACAATTTGGATACGTCTCTATTTTAAAAAAATATATTATTATTTACAGGGAAGGCAGCTTCAACTTCTGAAGAATGTTTGGAAAGTGCAACCTTGCTATAATAAGGTATAACACTTACAGCGCTGAACCACTCTCTGGTGAAGGATAAGGTTGGTAGGAGCCAGAACAAACACATGCATCTTGCTTTTTCTGACATAACTGTTCAATTTCCTCAAGTCCACAATGGGACTAAGGTAGTCTCTTTTTAGATGTAGTACTTTTAATACAAACCCTTCTTTCTGTTCTCTTTGGCTACTCATTGTACAGCTCCCATCACCAATAAATGAACAAGTAGTAAGAAAGATAGGAGAAAATGATGAGTGGATGGTAATTACATTTCCTCCTGAAGTATCTTCCGTTGTCTTTTTTTTTTTTTTTTTTTTTTTTTTGCTGGCAAAACTCAGTCTTCCGGGGGAGGAACGGTTAAGAAAGTACCTAATGAAAGATACTGTATCTATCCTCTACTTGTTAAAGAAGCCACCTGTCATAGCGCGGCACAAGTTTCCTTCCCCTTGTCCCTGCCCTTGGGCTGGCCAAAGAAAGAGTCTCAGATGCCTCTTGCAGGTGCTTCACCCGTGTTCTTTTATTTACAGTGGCTGTACAGTCCCAATTCCCCCAACACCAGTCCCCTGGCCTTTGAGGCTTGTGTCAGCCAGCAGAGACAAAACCACAACCCTCCTGCCTGACTAGCCTCACCCCTTGAGCTCTTCCCTGGGTTTATATTTCTTCCCAGTCAGCAACCCAGCTGGTTCCACTTGGCTCAGCAGATTACACTGAGCCTGCCCTCGTTAGGGCCTGCAGCTGGGCTCCCAGCTAAGGGTCTTGGCCCGTGTACCTAGCCACCCTACAGGGAAGCAGAGGGAAGCTGGGTCTTTAGCAGGGCATTCAAAGGTTTTATACCTCTGCACTGCGACACACCTCCCCCCTTTAATGAGCCACCAGGCTCAACCAGCCCCAGCCTCTTCTCAGCCAGGCATATTGGCCCTTCAGCGGGGGTTCGTTTACCCCTGCTGTGAGTTCCTGTGGGTCCTCCCTGGGGTTTTTAGCCCCACCCCCCGTGCCTCCACAGTAGAGGCAAGTCTCCCACATGTGTCCCTCGGCCCGACAGAGTCCACACTCCTGTTCAGGCCATGGCTGACTGTTCCCTTGCCTCCCCCGGCCCTCTCTCTGACATGGCTGGGTGCCTAGATACCCCGACTCCGGGATTGGCTCCAAGGCCCCAAGTCCCTTGCCTTCCTCGGGCTCATGAGGACTGCACTTCTGGCCGGAGGGTCCTTTGCAACCACAAAACCAACATTTGTTGGTTTCTTCCCACTGCTGTCCAGGAGTTCTTGCTACTTTTGGGGGTTCTACCAGCTCCCCCATTTCCCTTCACCTCCCTAATTGGGTTCTTCCCACCCCCTTCCTCAGGATCTCCCTGCCAACTTCCTGTCTCACAAGAAGGGGGTCCCCTATCGCTTCCCAGTAGGACTGGGTAGGGTAACCTCTCCACTACCCCTACCTGCTGCCACCGGAAACACCCCTGGACCTCCAGGGGAACTTGGGCTATCCAGTAGCTCCGGGTGTCCCCATGGACACACCGATGGGCTACCTTTTTCCCCAGAACCATCCAGCATGTCTTCACCAGACCTTTACAGACCAGGGAGCGGGTGGAGATGGAGTCCGCCAAACCCTTTCGGGGCTTCATCCCCACCAACACGGGTATGGTGTTTAAGGGCCATTTTCCTGGTCCCTCCCGCCCCCTGGTTCACCTGCAAAAGTCCGCCAGCCCACACTCCATTTGAGATCAGTCCTGTTTTTTATGGCCAGGGCGTCTGCACTACCAACAGGTCAGTTTGCGGCTGCGGGCGGGCCAGGGGTCCACCCCCCTCTTGGGTGCAGGTTCCAGTGGACTCCTTCCAGGTCCTGCTCCCCTAACGGGTTTAACTGCCTTCTGGGTGCCTTCGCCTCAATGTACTCCTCTGTCAGCTGGACTGCATCCACTACGTGGGCCGGCTGATGTAGTTGGACCCAAACGCATCATGGGTCTGGAAGCCCCTGGAGAAATTGCTCCAGGATCACCTGGTCCATTATCTCTACTGTCTGGGCTGTGGGCCTCAGCCACCTAGTGGCCCAGTCAGTCAACTTCTGAGCAAATGCCCTGGGCCTCAGGCTCTCCGTCCAGCGGGCTGCCCAAAACCACTGACGGTAACTCTCAGTTGAGACCCCGACCCAGTCCAAGATAGCGGCCTTCACAGTCTCATAATCTCTGGCTTGGGTCTCTCCCAAAGCCATAAACACTGCTTGGGCCTCACCTCCCAGGTACGGGGCTAGCCGCGAGGCCCATGTCGAACTCTCCCAGCCTGCTGCTGTAGCCACCCATTCAAAGGTCCCCAGAAAGACGTCTGGGTCATCTGTGGGGCCCATCTTACAGAGCCCCCACCCTGCTGTCTTGGTTCCGTCTCCGCTCAATGGACTCATCACCTGCTGGAGGATCTGCTGTTGGGCCACCGACTGCTCCTTGATGAACTCTTGGAGAGCCCATTGTTGGTCCCCCTGCCACGTCATCAGGGCCTGCCTTTCCGTCTGCTGGGACTGCTGCAGCTCCTGCATTGTAGTAACCAGTCATTTCAGGGTCTCCTCCATATGGGCAGCCACTGGTATTGGTGGCTAGGAGGAATCCCGGATGTAGGGGGCAAGGTTGCGGAAGATTGGCGAGGAGCTAAGCGGTGTGACTGGATGTAAGCGGAGGATGCAGGCAGTTTCAATGAACTTTGTCCGACAGATCCTGCCAAAAGACATTGTAGCATAGCTCAGCATATTTTTGCCTGTAAACTAGTCAGTTTATGTAATAAGCATAAATCGTACATATAAGAATGTAGCCAGCTGTTGACCCCATGTAACCCCAAGGTAAGTGCGGAGAATATAGCGCTGCAGAGCACTCTCCCCCGCAGTGGAATCCTGTCTGATCAGCTGTCCCAAATGGCCACAGTCCCCTGCAGCCCCTCCGCGCATCCTAGGGGCTCCCCGCGCAGATTGGAGCGTAAGTTCTTCCTTCCTTCAATAAAGCATAGTTTACTATTCTTAGGCCTGAGTGTCCTCCTTTCACTGGTATCTTCCCCCCCCAGCCCTTGCACAATTGGCGTCATGAACAGGATACCAGCGGAGGGATGCCTCTTTGGGGAAGGAAGGATAAGAGGGAGGGAGAGAGCCGCATCTCCGGGTGGCCCTGCACGGGACGGTGGGCACTTGTGGCTCGCAAGCTGGTGGGGTTGGTTGCCCCCGCTGCACGGCCGGAGCTAGAGCAGGAGCCGGGGATTACTCAAGTTAGGCTGGAGGAACTAATATCCAAGCTTCGGCTGGACAAAGTAGGA